CTTTATGTAGAAAACTAGGATTTAAATCAAGCCTTACTGACTATTGATTTAAATCAAATCCACCCTGCACCTCAGCAACTCGTGACTAGTTTCTACATACAGGAGCCTTCAAGCTGTCATTACCACCAAAGGATTTTCTAGGAGTATTAAATAAACTTCAGTTAGCGTGTTCAATAATTTTTCCCTGTGTCATTCCATTTTAAACACACAACTTAATTTCTGAATTTCTTTGTATGTATGGATTGCATGGGCTGTTACCAACGTGGTGAAAATTTCATATCAATAGCACCTTTAGAAATATATTTACTGAGAAAAATGGTGACGTGTTCAATACTTGTTTAACCCGCTGTATATAGTATATACTATATAAAAAACATGAAAAAGGAAAGAAACCTGTTTCCTTCTTAAGTGACATACTCTAGAGAGAGGGGAACTAATAGATGTGAACACATACTGTATAAGCCAAGAATATTTACTATAAAAATTTAGAGCATGCAAGGTGCGACACCTTTGCCAGATCCCCGCTGTGAGCTGTCAATATGGGACAGACACAGGAAAAATGCCTCTCCAAAGTGGGAGCATAGGAAGGAAACTGGAAACATGTTTATTCACTCAACTATAAATCTATCTTTCATACATTTTCCGCTCCAAGAGCATTAATGGCCTAGATACTGACCAACAACATGTGATAACAGCAAACCATGAAGACCAGGGCAACGTTTAAAGGAACATAGCAGTGAAACATCATTTTGGGGCAGCACAGCGGCTAAATGGTTAGCACTTCAGCCTGGCAGTACTATGGTCGTTGGTTCAAATCCCAACCACAACATCGTAAAAGTGGAAAACCCAAATTCTCCTGCGCTTAGGGTTGGACTCTAGGTCATAGGGATCACACAACGAATGTCTTGGAATATGCATGCCTTGCTGCCCTCAAAGAACCGGGGAGTCCAAAAGTACTAATATTTATTTATTTCAGGTACTTATATAGTGCCGTCAATTTACGCAGCACTTTACATACAGTGGGGATCGAAAGTTTGGGCACCCCAGCTAAAAATTTGTATTAATGTGCATAAAGAAGCCAAGGAAAGATGGAAAAATCTCCAAAAGGCATTAAATTACAGATTAGACATTCTTATAATATGTCAACAAAAGTTAGATTTTATTTCCATCATTTACACTTTCAAAATAACAGAAAACAAAAAAATGGCGTCTGCAAAAGTTTGGGCACCCTGCAGAATTTATAGCCTGCATTGCCCCCTTTGCAAAGCTGAGACCTGCCAGTGTCATGGATTGTTCTCAATCATCGTCTGGGAAGACCAGGTGATGTCAATCTCAAAGGTTTTAAATGCCCAGACTCATCTGACCTTGCCCCAACAACCAGCACCATGGGTTCTTCTAAGCAGTTGTCTAGAAAACTGAAACTGAAAATAGTTGACGCTCACAAAGCTGGAGAAGGCTATAAGAAGATAGCAAAGCGTTTTCAGATGTCAATATCCTCTGTTCGGAATGTAATTAAGAAATGGCAGTCATCAGGAACAGTGGAAGTTAAAGCAAGATCTGGAAGACCAAGAAAAATATCAGACAGAACAGCTCGCAGGATTGTGAGAAAAACAATTCAAAACCCACGTTTGACTGCACGATCCCTCCAGAAAGATCTGGCAGACACGAGTTGTGGTACACTATTCCACTATAAAGAGATACTTGTACAAATATGGTCTTCATGGAAGAGTCATCAGAAGAAAACCTCTTCTACGTCCTCACCACAAAAATCATGGTTTGAACTTTGCAAATGAACATATAGACAAGCCTGATGCATTTTGGAAACAAGTTCTGTGGACCGATGAGGTTAAAATTGAACTTTTTGGCCGGAATGAGCAAAGGTACGTTTGGAGAAGAAGGGGCACAGAATTTAATGAAAAGAACCTCTGTCCAACTGTTAAGCATGGGGTTGGATCAATCATGCTTTGGGGTTGTGTTGCAGCCAGTGGCACAGGGAACATCTCACGAGTAGAAGGAAAAATGGATTCAATAAAATTTCAGCAAATTTTGGATGGTAACTTGATGCCATCTGTGAAAAAGCTGAAGTTAAAGAGAGGATGGCTTCTACAAATGGATAATGATCCTAAACACACCTCGAAATCCACGGGGGATTACATCAAGAGGCTTAAACTGAAGGTTTTGCCATGGCCTTCACAATCTCCTGACCTCAACATAATTGAAAATCTATGGATAGACCTTAAAAGAGCAGTGCGTGACAGACAGCCCAGAAATCTCAAAGAACTGGAAGACTTTTGTAAGGAAGAATGGGCAAAGATACCTCAAACAAGAATTGAAAGACTCTTGGCTGGCTACAAAAAGCGTTTACAAGCTGTGATACTTGCCAAAGGGGGGAGTACAAGATATTAACTCTGCAGGGTGCCCAAACTTTTGCAGACGCCATTTTTTTGTTTTCTGTTATTTTGAAAGTGTAAATGATGGAAATAAAACCTAACTTTTGTTGACATATTATAAGAATGTCTAATCTGTAATTTGATGCCTTTTGGAGATTTTTCCATCTTTCCTTGGCTTCTTTATGCACATTAACACAAATTTTTAGCTGGGGTGCCCAAACTTTCGATCCCCACTGTATATATTGTACATTCACATCAGTCCCTAACCCTCAAGGGGTGTACAATCTAAGGTCCCTAACTTACATTCATACATACACATACTAGGGACAATTTACACAGGAGCCAATTCACCTACCAGCATGTCTTTGGAGTGTGGGAGGAAACTGGAGTACCCGGAGGAAACCACACAGGCACAGGGAGAACATGCAAACTCCAGGCAGGTGGTGCTGTGGTTGGGATTCGAACCAATGACCCTAGTACTGCCAGGCGGAAGTGCTAACCATTTAACCAGCCTACTAATAGAGAAAACCAAAACAGAGGGCGCACCGGCCTTGTGCATTACCTTTAAAAGTATGTTTATTAAATTTAAAAGAAGGTATTCTACTCACAAAAGTACATGAAAATAAGCACATCATATGAGACCGCTCTGTTCAATTCGCACTGCGTTTCTGAATGGTGATGAGAAAGATGGACATCCAAAATACTGACGCATTTCAAGGACTAGCCTCTTCCTCAGAGGCTCTGAGGAAGAGACTAGTCCTTGAAATGTGTCAGCCATTTTGGATGTCTATCATTCTCATCATCAACCACAGCATCACCTGCCTGAAGTTTGCATGTTCTCCCTGTGCCTGCGTGGGTTTCCTCTGTGTACTCCGGTTTCCTCCCACACTCCAAAGACATGCTGGTAGGTTATTTGGCTCCTGTCTAAGTTGGCCCTAGTATGTGTATGTATGAATGTGAGTTAGGGAGCTTAGATTGTACACCCCTTGAGGATTAGGGACTGATGTGAAGGTACAATATATATGTAATACTATGTGTATGTATGGATGTAAGTTAGGGATGTTATATGAATACTATGTGTAATATACTATGGTGATACTATGTGTTACATGAATACTATGTGTATGAATGTGAGTTAGGGACCTTAGGTTATGCGCCCCTTGAGGATTAGGGACTGATGTGAATGTACAATATATATGTAAAGCGCTGCTTAAATTTACGACGCTATAAATAATATAAATACATTTTGCCGTCGAAGTTTGTTGGAAGACCTTGCAATCAATACGTGAAGCTGGTTTCCCTTCCCACTGAAACCAAATAGCTGTCAATATTTTTCGCATTATCTTCAAAGCCTGCAAAAATACAGCCCAGATGTGTTCTCCGGTCCCATCATCGCCCTTTGGAGCTCTTACGAGTCTGAGGATGCACGGTACAGAACAAGATGCTGCTAAGACAGGCAGAAGCCTAGTGAAAACCTCATTTGTTGCACAGAAAATCCAAATTAAAGAAACAAAATGGGCTTTGTATCAGCGTAGCTTCTAGGTTCATTTGGCCCGATACCGGCAACTGCTCTTTAACCGGTTGTGAAACACGTTAATAAAAAACTTCAAAGAACACAGAGTGTGTATAATATTCCTGCCCCACTGCTGCTCCCCCACCCCACGCTAGCTGATTAATGCCAGCTGCCAAAATGACAGCCAGGAACTGACGTGTGTGAATATAGCAGCTGTAGTAGCTGTTGCTGTCAGAAGACATTCAGGGGAATTCCAATAAAGCACTTCTGACACTTTTCTGGCACGATGACCCTTCAAAATGCTCTGTGCCAGATTAAAAAAAAAATCCCCACTGCCAGGCTCGGTGACTTTGTCGAAGGTGTGTGGGACATCCGAAGAGTTAATAGTGCCACTTTTACAAAGTGCTGTTATTAAAGCACAACTCCGGTTCTGCTGTTTTTCACTGCCAGCAGGTGGGCTCTTTATTGCAGAAGAGACACTCAAATTTCTCCTCTGCAATGAGATACATCTACCTGCTTGCTCTCGGCATTGATCGGCATGTAAAATCAGCTTAACCACTTCAAGTCTGGACACTTTCACCCCCTTCCTGTCCAGGCCAGCATTCAGCGCTATCACACTTTGAATGACAATTGCGCAGTCATGCAACACTGTACCCATATGAATTTTTTTACTTTTTGAGACAGATAAAACTTTATTTTGGTGGTATTTATTCACCACTGGGATTTTTTCTTTTGCTATATATATTTAAAAAAAAAAAAAAAAAAAAAAAAAAAGAGTGTTTTTCTTCTAAAATTTTACAAATAATCTTTCTTCAAATACCTTGGCCAAAATTTATTCAGTTATCTATTTAGTAAAAAATAAATAAATAAAAAAAATAACCCAAATTAGTTTGTAACCAAAAATTATAATTTTTATTTTTTTATATTATTTATGGCTTTTTTTAAACATACTGTCGCCATAGTGACACTGTACTACTTGTGGGGGGTGATGAAGATTTTTTGTTTTACACTGATTGCTTTTATACCCATAAAGGCTGTAAAAGCAATAATTTCTCCTCCTCTTTGGCTGCATTCTTGCAGCCATTGAGAAATACTGTGTGAGCTGTGATTGGTCAGAGCTTGTCACATGGTACAAGGCTGTTGTGAATAGCCTTGTACCATGTGACCTCTGTGATCATTCACAGATTTCACAAGTAGTAAGCAATGATGGCAGGAAGTGACATCTTGTTTACTACTATTCATGTGATCACTGATTGGCCAATCAGGGATCACATGAATAGGGACCTCACACAGAGGTCCTGTACAGCAATCGCGGTGCCGCGCACTCCCAGGGAGTGAGCAAAGGCTGTAAAATGCGGGCGCCGTTTATGAACGGCAACCAGCTCCTGCACTGCTCCTGTCCGGCTGTTTATGTACATGGGTCGGACGGGAAGAGGTTAAAGAGGAGCTCCACCCAAAAGGGGAGGTTCAACTTTAAAGACTGGTCCACCGCTCCCTAATTAGGAGTGTTACCTTTGGGGAGCGTGGGGGGAGTGGGTACCGGAATTTGACAGGTACCGGCACCCACTTCTGCTGTGATCGCCTATGCGATCTGAAGTTGTTCCCTGCCATCCCCATAGTTTTCTGGGACATGCGACAGGTCCCAGAAGACTACGGGACCATTCAGAATACTGCCCTACTCTCGCATGCGCAGCGGGGCACTTGGCTGTGAAGATGCCGGCACCATGAACACCAGACGGCTGGTGAAACGGGCTGCGGGGAGGACACCGGATCCTTAAGGCGGCCATAGATTTCCAATTTTCTTGCCAAATTATCGACCGGAAAAAAAAAATTGTCCGATGTTCGTACCATTAGTGGGGGAAAATGTTGGCCGTTTCTCTTAATTTTAAGAGATTTTGAAAATCGTCCAAGCTGGAAAATCCTGGGATGATTTGCTAGATCGGCTGATTTTCACGGTAAGTTATGGTCAAATCGGCCGTTCTTCTGGCTGATTTGACAATAAATTGACTATGAAGAAAAAGAAGAAATAGATTTTGCAGGAGAATTAGAAATAGAATATCAAGAAGAAGAATAGAGAAGATGAAATAGATTTTGCAGAAGACGGAGAAGAAAAAAAGTTGCAACATTGTATCTATTTGTATGCATTTGGGATACAGATGTTTCTATTCAAGTACAAATAGATACAATGTTGTTTCTCTTCTTCTTCTACTTCTGCATAATCCATTTCTTCTGTCAAATATAATAGCGGGTCTCTATGCAGGGACACCACTATTATATTAATTGATGGCCGTAGACGGGACTAAAACCTGCCGACTTTTTTTTAAATTAGTGGCAACATTGGCCGTCTGAACGACCGATTTACGACTTTAAAAAAAAAAACGGCCGATTGTCCCCACATCTATGGCCTGCTTTAGTCTGCTGTTGGCTATAAAATCTGCCTAATGTCAATTACAAGGGACTTATCTTCCCCATCAGTCTCTACCCACTGAGAGGGTAGCAGCAGCAAATCAAGGGACAGGTAAGTGGCTGTTTTTTTGTTTTTTTTTTTTTTTTTTAGTCAGCAAGCTACAGTTTTTGTAGCTGCTGACATTTTTTTTACAGTGAGACTGTGTGCACTAAGAAGTGATATCACACAGATCTTCTTCTGTTTCGCATCTTGCGGAACAGAATGGGGACCATTAGAGGAAAGGAGAGTATACCTGCCTTTACTTTTGCTTTAATGAGCCAAATTAAAAAATAATTACCTCCAATTCAAAGATAATGAAACTGGGAGGTAATTAAGACCTACTCTAACTTAGTGTACAAAGACAGGCAGAGAGAGTGCCTGTCCCTGTACACATTGTAGTAGAGTGGCAGATTTGCTGACGCTACCCTCTCAGTGGGTAGAGACTGATGGAGAACCTATGACAATAGATTCCTGTCTGGTCCGCTTCCCTTGTAATTGACATCAGGCAGATTTTATCACCAACAGCAGACTAATGTCGGCCATAGACTGTTAGAAAATCGGCTGATTTTTTTCGGCCAAAAAAAAAAAGTTCGATTTTCACAAAGTTAGTGGGCCGTTTTTTCGGGGTTTTGCAGTTTTTTTTTTATCGGTCATGTTGGAAAATTTGCGGCCGATTTTCCCGGCAATGATGGGCAAATCGGCCGATCGTTTTACCGATAAAAAATCCACGCATTAGCAGTGACCTGCAACGGACAGAAGTTATGGGGTGAACTTTATGATTTAGTCGCCCGATTTTTGTTATCGTGTGTGGCCGAATGAATGAACGATTTTTCTTTTTTTTTATCTCGAGAAATCGTACGATATTTCACCAGTCTATGGCCTGCATAAGGATCAGCCCAATGCCAGAAGTTATGGGGTGAACTTTATGATTTAGTTGGCTGATTTTTGTTATCGTGTGTGGTAATGTCGGCCGAATGAATCACCGATTTTTTTTTTTTTTTTTTCTCGAGAAATCGGATGATATTTCACCAGTCTATGGCCTGCATAAGGATCAGCCCAATGCCTTCTGTCGCTTACAGGAGTGTACCTAATGAGGAACAATTGGTCTGTAAGTCTCCATCAGGCCATCAGTGTTTTTGAACACTGTTTAGAGGGATATAGAGAGATATTGAGTAAAATTGTTTCTTTTGTATTTACACTTTCATTCTTTTGCAGATCAAATAATAATATAAAAAGGAAAAAAATATTAAAAGGTAATAAAATAGTAAAGAAAAAACATCAGAAAAAATTGTAAAATAAGGAGTTAATTAGGGCTGATTAAGACTAAGGGTCAACGTAAGATTAAAAGGAGACAAATTATTAAAACCAAAAGTCCACATTGCTTTGGTCCATAGGCATTGTACAGGTATGAGAGGTGAAGTGACTAAAGAACAAATGTAGACAAATTTTAACATACTCAACAGACTGCCAAAAAACTAAAGGAGATGTTGAGTCAAAGCTCTTTCGGCCATACTTCTCCAATGGGTCACAGGAGTGCATTTGGTTCTACTTTCCTGTGACCCATATTCAGCAGACAGCGGGGCTAAAGTCCTCTATAGGCTGAGGTCACACATCCGGTCCAGATTCTGGAAAGATCCTGACTTTATTGTTCGGATCTGCCCATATTCCTGAGTGGCACCATGCTCAGCATCTGAGTGCTGAGAACCCGAGTCAGCTGCTCCAATTCTCTCCACAGCCCGATGCTGCAGTGAGCGCTCGAGGGCCAGAGGACAGAGCAGTGGCTGACAGCCACCAGCTCTTTGCTCACTGAAGACTGGGAACTGAGCGAACAGCGGCCTTTGATCGCTCAGTTCTTGGTCTTGGAGGCGGTGGGTGACAGATGCAGCATCAGATCTAGGAGTATGAGTGTAATTTTAATAACCCACACTTCCCTTTTAAATACCATATTTAGAGCTGTGCATTATACACTGCAGTATTGGTCAATGACAGAGAAAGGGGAAGGTTAGAAAAGGACATTGAATACTACAGAGACAAGGGAGAGACCGGCTAAAAAAAAATCTGGAGTGGTGGGGGTCCTCTTGTGTTAACAGCTGCTTGATTATTCAGTGTTTGGTTCTCCTAGAATTTCTGTAGAAGCAGCCAGGCCATAAACAAAACTCACCTTCTGTACCAATTATTCAGTCTTTACATGAACATTGACTGGTCATTTCTTCTTTAATGTGACAAGTTACAATTGTCCATGTTGTCCAGTGCAGCCCTTTTACCCAAAGCTGGATAAGCCGAGAGTTTACTATAATGCTACATTCCGAAAGCAGAACTAAACCCATCAGATTTAACCGTTTCCATACCAATATTATACAATACCAATCACAACCCTATGAAAAGGTGACAGAGCTATTTGCTATCTTGCCTTTCATGGTGTGTGACTGCAGAGCTCAATCTCACTCCCATGAAGACTGAGATTGAGCTCTGCAGCCACTTTTGCAGACATTGTTTTCTTATTCCAGGTCAAAATCCTGCGCAATGCCCCTTTCGATCAGTTGACCATGTTGACCGCGCTTATGCTTATTTCCCGGAAATTGCATACGCCGCCAAAACCTTTGGTTCTGTACCTCACAACATAGCAAATAAATTGGCAACTTCAGTCACAGTGGCACCAGCTAAGCGCCAACAATTTGCCCTCTTTTAAGCTCAGTAAGCTCCGACACGACTCCATATTACCCGCAGCGCACGCAGTTAATGACAAAAGTTAGGCTTCCCAGCTATTAGCTAGGTGTCTCATCACACAGCAGAAGCAAAGAAATGTTACATCACCAACAACATCACCCAAGATACAACCGTTCCTAACCTCGGAAACCACTAAGCAACTTATTCACTCCCTTGTTATCTCTCACCTTGACTACTGTAACTCCCTCCTCATTGGCCGACCTCATCGCAGGCTATCCCCTCTTCAGTCTATCATGAATGCTGCTGCCAGACTCATCCACCTTACTAACCGTTCTGTATCTGCCACCCCTCTCTGCCAATCCCTCCACTGGCTTCTCATTGCCCAACGGATAAAATTCAAAACACTAACGTATAAAGCCATTTATAACTCCGCCCCAAATTACATCACTAATCTTGTCTCCAAACATCACTAGAACCGTCCTCTCCACGCACGACCTCCTGCTCTCTAGCTCCCTTGTCTCCTCCTCCCATGCTTGTCTCCAGGACTTCTCTAGAACTTCCCCCATCCTCTGGAACGCTCTACCCCCAATTTATCAGACTATCACCTACTCTGCTCACTTTTAGGCAATCTCTGAAAACCTCTCTCTTCCGGGAAGCCTATCCTGCCCTCAGCTAATAATGGAATCTTTTACTCCTACCAGTCCATCCCCCACAGTTATTACCTTTTGTACTACTAGCCCCCCCCCTCCCTCCTAGATTGTAAGCTCCCAGGATCAGGCCCTCCTATCCCTCTTGTATTGAACTGTACTGTTGCTGTATTGTCTCCCATTATAATGTAAAGCGCTGAGCAAACTGTTGGCGCTATATAAATCCTGTATAATAATAATAATCACTTTCACTTTCAATGCAAAACATATCACTTTCACACCTGCAGATCATATAGTGTCTCCATTTTTTGTCCGGCCCCTGTACTTCTCATACTAAAGATAAAAAAAGGAAGAAAAATCAACAAAAATAGAGGCAGGAAGTAGGAAGGGGATTCATAGGAACAAAAAAGAAGGAACTGAAAACAGATCTTCGACCAAAAATAAAAGTGTCACTTTTCCTCTTCATACCCCAACTAATTTGCAGCATACAGTGCATCTAGAAAGTATTCACAGCGCTTAACGTTTGCCACATTTTATGTTACATCCATATTCCAAAATGGGTTAAAATAATTTTTTTTCCTCAACATTCTACAAACGATACCCCATAATGACAACGTGAAAAAAGTTTGTTTTTAAATCTTTGAAAATAAAAAAAAAACAAACATATACACAAGTATTCCCGGCCTTTGCTCAGTACTTTGTTGAAGCCCCTTTAGCACCAATTACAGCCTCAAGTAGTTTGGAGTGTGATGCTACAAGCCTGGCACACCTATTTTTGAGCAATTTCTCCCATTTTTTGCAGTACCTCTCAGGCTCCATCAGGTTGGTTGGGGAGCGTCGGTGCACAGCCATTTTCAGATCTCTCCAGAGATGTTCAATCGGGTTCAAGTCTGGGCCACTCCAAGACATTCACAGAGTTGGCCCGTAGCCACTCCTTTGTTATGTGGGCTGTGTGCTTAGGGTCGTTGTCCTGTTGAAAGATGAACCATCGCCCCAGTCTAAGGTCCAGAGCACTCTGGAACAGGTTTTCATCAAGGATGTCTCTGTACATTGATGCATTCATCTTACCTTCGATCCTGACTAGTCTCCCAGTTCCAGCCACTGAAAACCATCCCCATAGCATGATGCTGCCACCACCATGCTTCACTGTAGGGATGGTATTGGTCAGGTGGTGAGCGGTGCCTGGTTTCCTCCAGACATGACGCTTGGCATTCAGGCCAAAGAGTTCAATCTCTGTTTCGTCAGACCAGAGAGTTTTGTTTCTCACGGTCTGAGAGCTCCTCAGGTGCCTTTTGGCAAACTCCAGGCGGGCTGCCATTTGCCTTTTACATATACAGTCAGGTCCATAAATATTGGGACATGGACACAATTTTAACATTTTTGGCTCTATACATCACCACAATGGATTTGAAATGAAACGAACAAGATGTGCTTTAACTGCAGACTGTCAGCTTTAATTTGAGGGTATTTACATCCAAATCAGGTGAACGGTGTAGGAATTACAACAGTTTGCATATGTGCCTCCCACTTGTTAAGGGACCAAAAGTAATGGGACAGAATAATAATCATAAATCAAACTTTCACTTTTTAATACTTGGTTGCAAATCCTTTGCAGTCAATTACAGCCTGAAGTCTGGAACGCATAGACATCACCAGACGCTGGGTTTCATCCCTGGTGATGCTCTGCCAGGCCTCTACTGCAACTGTCTTCAGTTCCTGCTTGTTCTTGGGGCATTTTCCCTTCAGTTTTGTCTTCAGCAAGTGAAATGAATGCTCAATCGGATTCAGGTCAGGTGATTGACTTGGCCATTGCAGAACATTCCACTTCTTTCCCTTAAAAAACTCTTTGGTTGCTTTTGCAGTATGCTTTGGGTCATTGTCCATCTGCACTGTGAAGCGGTGTCCAATGAGATCTGAAGCATTTGGCTGAATATGAGCAGATAATATTCCCGAAACACTTCAGAATTCATCCTGCTGCTTTTGTCAGCAGTCACATCATCAATAAATACAAGAGAACCAGTTCCATTGGCAGCCATACATGCCCACGCCATGACACTACCACCACCATGCTTCACTGATGAGGTGGTATGCTTAGGATCATGAGCAGTTCCTTTCCTTCTCCATACTCTTCTCTTCCCATCACTCTGGTACAAGTTGATCTCAGGCTCATCTGTCCATAGGATGTTGTTCCAGAACTGTGAAGGCTTTTTTAGATGTCATTTGGCAAACTCTAATCTGACCTTCCTGTTTTTGAGGCTCACCAATGGTTTCCATCTTGTGGTGAACCCTCTGTATTCACTCTGGTGAAGTCTTCTCTTGATTGTTGACTTTGACACACATACACCTACCTCCTGGAGAGTGTTCTTGATCTGGCCAACTGTTGTGAAGGGTGTTTTCTTCACCAGGGAAAGAATTCTTCGGTCATCCACCACAGTTGTTGTCTGTGGTCTTCCGGGTCTTTTGGTGTTGCTGAGCTCACTGGTGCGTTCCTTCTTTTTAGGAATGTTCCAAACAGTTGTTTTGGCCACACCTAATGTTTTTGCTATCTCTCTGATGGGTTTGTTTTGTTTTTTCAGCCTAATGATGGCTTTCTTTACTGATAGTGAGAGCTCTTTGGATCTCATCTTGAGAGTTGACAGCAACAGATTCCAAATGCATAAAGCACACTTGAAATGAACTCTGGACCTTTTATCTGCTCATTGTAATTGGGATAATGAGGGAATAACACACACCTGGCCATAGAACAGCTGAGAAGCCAATTGTCCCATTACTTTTGGTCCCTTACCAAGTGGGAGGCACATATGCAACTGTTGTAATTCCTACACCGTTCACCTGATTTGGATGTAAATACCCTCAAATTAAAGCTGACAGTCTGCAGTTAAAGCACATCTTGTTCATTTCATTTCAAATCCATTGTGGTGGTGTATAGAGCCAAAAATGTTAAAATTGTGTTGATGTCCCAATATTTATGGACCTGACTGTAGTTACATAGTTAGTCTGGCTGAAAAAAGACAAGCCCATGCAGTTCAACCATAAAAAAAAAATTAAAAATTTACTGAGGAGTGGCTTCCGTCTGGCCACTCTACCATACAGGCCTGATTGGTGGAGTGCTGCAGAGATGGTTGTTCTTCTGGAAGGTTCTCCTCTCTCTACAGAGAAATGCTGGAGCTCTTTCACATTGACCATCGGGTGCTTGGTTACCTCCCTGGCTAAAGCTCGTCTCAGCTCATTTTGGCCGGGCGGCCCGCTCTAGGAAGATTCCTGGTGGTTCCAAACTTCTTCCATTTACAGGTGGAGGCCACTTTGCTCATTGGGACCTTCAATGCTGCAGAAATGTTTCTGTACCCTTCCCCAGATCTGTGCCTTGATACAATCCTGTCTCGGAGGTCTACGGACAATTCCTTGGACTTCATGGCTTGGTTTGTGCTCTGACATGCACTGTTAACTGTGGGACCTTCTATAGTCAGGTTTATGCCTTTCCTAATCATGTCCAATCAACTGAATTCCCCACAGGTGGACTCCAATCAAGTTGTGGAAACATCTCAAGGATGATCAGTGGGAACAGGATGCACCAGAGCTCAATTTTGAGTGTCATGGCAAAGGCTGTGAATACTTATGTACATGTGTTTTTTCATTTTTAATAAATTGTAAATATTTCAAAACAAACTTCTTTCACGTTCTCATTATGGGGCATTGTTTGTAGAATGCTGAGGGAAAAAAATGAATTTAATCCATTTTGGAATAAGGCTGTAACATAACAAAATGTGGCAAAAGCTATACGCTGTGAATACCTTACTGGATGCACTGTATATTTTTGAGTAGTGGGAAACTTTTTTTTGACAGGTACTCGCCCCTACTTCCTAAATCCTCTCCTAGGCAAGGATGATGTCAGTTTGGCCTGTCACATCCTGGGATACCTCACAAGTCTCAGGAGGCTACAGAACCAATCTCAGTGCACTGCTGTGCCCAGCGCATGCCAAATGGGGAACTGGCTTTAAGATATCAGGAAGTCCCAAGCTGGCTCCAGGGAAATCTAGAGTGCAGCAAAGAATCAGCTGCGGGGGAAGCCAGTGCAGGACTCACTGAACTGAAAAGAACCTGTTTACTAAAAGTTAACTGCTACAGTATTTGATTGTGCTGACGTAATTTAACAGCCCCGGGAGATGTTCTTCCTTAATGCGGAGTTCCATCTAAAAAAAAAATAAAAGCTAACAGCTACAAAAACTGTAGCTGCTGACTTTTAAAATAAAGACACTTACCTGTCCCTTGTCCTGCGGTGTCCTCACCACCGCTGGTTTCACCAGCCGTCTTTTGTCCTCAGCACCAGCATCCTTAGTGTGTGCACCCATCTGACAGCTTACGGCTTCACAGCCGGGTGCCCACTGCGCATGCGCAAGTAGCGCTGCGCTTTGTGAATGGCCCCGTAGTCTTCTGGGACCTGTCACATGCCCCAGAAGACTACGGGGAGGGAGGGTGGAGGACAACCTCAGTTTCCAATCACCTTAGGTGATCGCACTGGAAGTGGGAGGGGGTACCTGTTAAATTCGGGTATCCGCTCCCCAAAGGTGACAATCCTTAATAGGGAGCGGGGACAAAGCATAGTATATGTATGTGAGTTAGGGACCTTAGATTGTACACCCCTTGAAGGTTAGGGACTGATGGGAATGTACAATATATATATATATATGTAAAGTGCTGTGTAAATTGACGGTGCTATACAAGTACCTGTAATAAATAAAAAAAATTAAGCGAAACTTCCCCTTTTGGATGGAGCTCTGCTTTAATTTGCAGGAATTTCCTCTCACTTCCTGTTTGGCAATGGGACAGGTAGCGAAAAATATCTGCAATGGGCCACAGATGGCAAAAATAAATCTGACTGGGGTTATAACCCTCCCTTACTCTAGCCAAAATTGAAAAAAGTTTTGCCTATAGTTCTACTTTAATGTGTTTTACTTGAAGGTTTTTTTTTGTGACTTTTTTTTCCATCAGCACGATAGGATTTAGAACAGGAAAAAAAATGTAAAACAGGGGAAAAAAAATTCCAATAAACATGAGCCCATTGGAGGCATTAGCTTACAGAGTATTGAGGAACTAGGGGAGGGGAGGTGCCTTCTGAGAGCAGTTCATATTTTGGAAGATACTTTGCATCCCTGTAATGTTTTGTGTACATTCTTCTCATAAAAACATCTCTAAAGACATGGTAAAAGAAACAGCAGATCCAGCGAATGCGTTTCACACCAAATTCAGCGCTTTCTAAGCTATGATTAAGCACTGATTAACTTGACATGAAACGCATTCGTGGATCTGCGGTTTCCCTTATGTATTTGGAGATGTTTTTATGAGATTTCATCAGTATTTATTTATTTCAGGTACTTATATAGCACCGTCAATTTACGCAGAGCTTTACACATATATATATATTGAACATTCACATCAGTCCCTAACCCTCAAGGGGCGTACAATCTAAGGTCCCTAACTCACATTCATACATACACATACTAGGGACAATTTAGACAGGAGCCAATTAACCTACCAGCATGTCTTTGGAGTGTGCGAGGAAACCGGAGTACCCGGAGGAAACCCACACAAGCACAGGGAAAACATGCAAACTCCATGCAGGAGGCGCCATGGTCGGGAATCGAACCCATGACCCATTTACTGCAAGGCAGACGTGCTACCCACTATGCCACTGTGCCGCCCATCAGTAAAGGTGATCTTATTGGATGTGCGTCCAACCAGACCTTTTTTGCTCCACGAGTCCTCATGCACACGGGACGTTTTTACAGCGGCTGTTTTTGGCTTTTGAGGGTTTTTTTTTTTTTTTCTTACAGCCAGTAAACCCCCAGCACGTTATCCTATGTGTCCATGGACACAGACTGTAATCAACATTTTTTAGCAGGGGCGTTTTTTGGCTGGAAAAAAAACCCAGGACTAGTGGGTTTCTAGAAGAGTTTTTTTGAGCTGTAAATACGCTCTAATGCTGAAAAACACGGCAAACCAGCATTTTTGAAATTTTTTTGACCAAAAAAAAAAAAAGTTTTGTTTTGGTCAAAAAACCTAAAAGACACAAATGTGAAAAAATGCGGCAAAACTAAAAAAAACAACTCACATTTTTAATGTGACTTTACGCAGCTAACGTTACCAGCGTTATTAAAACGCCTCGTGTGCATGGAGCCCGATACTCACATTTGTAAAGCTAGCCGTACATGGCTAAAATTAGAAAACAAATTGATTGCCCCCATCCATGCTGCAGTGCTGCTGGTGCATTCTAACAACCACTTGGCTTCGACATGGCTGAATCTCTAGAGTGAGCTGTGCATGCGCAGCTCAGTGTACTGGGGTGGACAAGTAAGTAACTTCAACCACTTCCAATCCGGCCCATGTATATAAACGGCCAGATGGGAGCAGTGCAGGGGCAGGTGGCTGTTTATAAACAGCCTCCCCACTCCCTGGGAGCGCGCAGCACCGCGATCCGGTGCCCGCTGTGTCCTCCGGATCGTTGTACGGGACCTCCGAGTGAGGTCCCAATCATGTGATCACTGATTGGCCAATCAGTGATTGCATGAAGAGTAGTAAGCAAGATGTCACTTCTGACATCATTGCTTACTACGTGTGAAATCTGCAAATGATCACAGAGGTCACATGGTACAAGGCTATTCACAACAGTCTTGTACCATGTGACAAGCTGTGACCAATCACAGCTCACACAGTATTTCTCAATGACTGCAAGAATGCAGCCAGAGAGACGGAGAAATGATTACTTTTATTATTATTATTATTATACAGGATTTATATGGCGCCAACAGTTTGCTCAGCACTTTACAATATAACGGGAGACAATACAGCAACAGTACAGTTCAATAAAAGCGGAATAGGAGGGCCTGATCTTGGGAGCTTACAATCTAGGAGATTGCTTTTAAACCAATAAAAGCTGTAAAATCTATCAGTGTAACATAAAAAAAAAAAAAAAATCTTCATCACCCCCCACAAGTAGTATAGTCACTACGGTGACACTGTACTGCTAGGGTGACAGTATATAAAACAAAAAACCCATAAATATAAAAAATAAAATAAAAATGTAAAAAAATTTTTTAGAAAAATTATAAATTTTTGGTTATAAACTAATTTGGGTTATTTTTTTTTTTTTTTACTAAAAAGATAACTGAATAAATGTTGGCCAAGATTTATGAAGAAAGATTATTTATTTGCAAAATGTTGTAAGAAAAAAACTTTTCAAAATTTTGGGACTTTTTCATTTATATAGCAAAAAAAAAATAAAATAAAAATCCCAGTGGTGAATAAATACCATTAAAATAAAGTTTTATCTGTCTCAAAAAAATGCTAAAAAAATTCATATGGGTACAGTGTTGCATGAACGCACAATTGTCATTCAAAGTGTGACAGCGCTGAAAGCTGAAAATTGGCCTGGACAGGAAGGGGGTGAAAGTGTCCGGACAGGAAGGGGGTGAAAGTGTCCGGACAGGAAGGGGGTGAAAGTATCCGGACTGGAAGGGGTTAATGCAGAAAAGACAAAGCCTCTCTCCTGCCTGTCTGCCCACTTTTATAATTTGCCTAAAGTTCAACATAAAAGCACATTAGATTGTAAGCTCCTTTGCTGGCGGAGTCTGGTGGACACAATTGTGTGCACTGTATAAAGCAATGGAAATTAAGAAGGAAGCTCTACATGCTGGTAAGATAAATAACACCGCTGTACGCCAGGGGCGGACTGACAACTCATGGGGCCCCCGGGCAATAGGGGATCATGGGGCCCCTGTATCCTCACCCATACCCCAAAAAGCCTATGAAAAAGCCAATGAAAGGTACCAGGGGCATCTCATGGGGCCCCCTACTAACCCCAGGCCCTCGGGCAGTGCCCAAGTGCTGGAATGGTCAGTCTACCCTGCTGTACACGCTACATGCACATCATACGTCCTGTGAATCTGGAATCCCGTGGGCCTCTACTTTCGCGTTCTTCTGAACACCAAAACCTTTCTTCTTTTTAAATAGGGTGGTGAGGGGCTACCACAGAAGCTGCCCATGCCCCCCACGGGGGAAATTCACCTATTTGCCCTCCATGTGTCACGGAAGGGAAATCTAAAATTCTAAGTTGTCACCTAAACAGGGAGGGGAAATCCTTCAATGCTGATCCAGTGACAACTTTAGAAGACGGGATTTCTCGCACATTGAAGACATCCTCACTTCCTGTGGTGTCTCTGGGACAGGAAGTTAAGGGAAATCTCCCCAATGTGACATAGCAAACAGAACACAACAGAGGTTTTAACCTTCTATTCCATCTGAAAAATAGTTTGGTACACTTTAAAGGGTTAGCCCACCTTTTCAGATAAAATTAACCCCCCCCCCCCAGCTTTACTTACACCCATGGGTGATGAGCTGTCAGCGCCCATGCAGCTGGTGTAGTAGTCCAGGAACCTGAAATCCTCGCTCTTCTTTCTGCAGGGCTTTTGGGACAGATCAGAGTGATGTGCTGTGCCAACGCTGACCAATCAGAATCGCTCTGATCCATCCTGGAAGTGCTGCAGAGGAGGAAAGGAGTGGAGATTTCAAATCCCCAGATTGTTGTACTGGTGGTGTGGATACTGACAGCTCATCACCCACAAAGGTAAGTACAGCAGGGACCAGGGGGTGGGGAGGTAGTTTATAATTTATTTTTTTTCCCTGAAAAAGTGGTTTTATACTTTAAAGTGTATCTGTAGCCAAAATGTTTTTTCCAGTGTTGGGGTAGGATTAGAACCTCTCTGCTATCCAGTGAGAGATTTACCCTCACTTTCTGTTCCGACAACTGTGGCAGTGCCAAGGGAGAGCCCTCCGTGGTCAGCAGGCAGAGGGGAAGACACTTGGCACAGGATCCTGAAGATGGGGGTCATAACAGTAGTAGTAAAAACCACCTTCCCCAGCGGCCCCCTGGATATCAGATATAGATCGTTCCATCGAGCCAGGCTAGATCAATGTAAGTATGCAGAATACCGTTCCTGGAGTTCCACTGTAAAAAGCACAGTCCACCTTTGTGGCCACGTGTCAGGTTTCACCTATACTTAGAGTAACATGAATCAGTCACCTACCCCCGAGCACAGCCCTTCTCCCGGTATATGAATCTAGTGCAACTTTGTGTGGCTCTCCCATCACAGCCACATCAGGGGGTCAGGGACAATGAAGGGAGCGTGACACCGAGGGGTACAGGGACAATGGAGGAGGGGTGACACCGAGGGGTACAGGGACAATGGAGGAGGGGTGACACCGAGGGGTACAGGGACAATGGAGGAGGGGTGACACCGAGGGGTACAGGGACAATGGAGGAGGGGTGACACCGAGGGGTACAGGGACAATGGAGGAGGGGTGACACCGAGGGGTACAGGGACAATGGAGGAGGGGTGACACCGGGGGCACAGGGACAATGGAGGAGGGGTGACACCGAGGGGCACAGGGACAATGGAGGAGGGGTGACACCGAGGGGCTCAGGGACAATGGAGGAGGGGTGACACCGAGGGGCTCAGGGACAATGGAGGAGGGGTGACACCGAGGGGCTCAGGGACAATGGAGGAGGGGTGACACCGAGGGGTTCAGGGACAATGGAGGAGGGGTGACACCGAGGGGTACAGGGACAATGGAGGAGGGGTGACACCGAGGGGTACAGGGACAATGGAGGAGGGGTGACACCGAGGGGTACAGGGACAATGGAGGAGGGGTGACACCGAGGGGTACAGGGACAATGGAGGAGGGGGTGACACCGAGGGGTACAGGGACAATGGAGGAGGGGTGACACCGAGGGGTACAGGGACAACTTAAAGGAGGTGACAGAGGGGTTCAGGCCCACAAACCAGGACAATGGAAGGGAGACAAAGAGGATCAGGCCCAGATTTCAGGACAACAGGGGTTCAGTCTCAGATTTTGGGACAATGGGGGAGGGGGTGTCACAGAGGGGGTCAAGTGTCAGATTTTAGGACAATGGGGGAGGGGTGACAGGGGTTCAGTCTCAGAATTTGGGACAATGGGGGAGGGGTGACGATGACACAAAGGGGTCCTGGGCCAGATTCAGGGACAATTTGGGTGGGGGGTGGTAGAAGGGTTCAGGCCCAAAATCCAAGCCAATGGGGGACAAATAGGGGCTCAGATTTGTGGGGAAATAGCAGGATGGTGACAGAGGGTTGAAGAACAATGGAGGAAGGGGGACAGAGTGGGGTACAGTCCCAGATTTGGGGACAGTGGGGGAGGGGTAACAAAGGGTTGAGGTCCAGGACCAGGGACAATGAAGGAGGGGTGGGATGGGTCCCAGATCACAAAACAACGGGGGAGGGGATGTGACCCAGTGCAGGCCCAGATTTGGGGACAATACAGTAAAGTGGGTGACAGAGGTGGGGGGGTTCAGGGACAATGGAGGAGGGGTGTGACAGAGAGGGGTTCAGGGACAATGGGGGAGGGGTGACAGAGGGTGCATGGAGATTGGGGGAGGGGTTATGGCCCAGCTTGGTCCTCCCCCGTATCGGCAGACACCGGAGGAGCACACAGGCCCCCCTCTCCCGGTCATTAGCCGGCTCCCCCTCCCCCCACTCACCGTTATAGAGGGCGATGTCCCCTCCCCGGGCCTCCAGCCGCAGCTCCCTCTGCTCCGCGTGTCTCTGGATCTCCCCGTTCGCGTCCCCGATACTGAGGAGCCGCACGCCGGGAAACACCGACACCGCCGCCATCTTTCCAGAGGCGGGCACAGCGCTCGGCGCCGGGAATTATGGGTAGGTGGAGGAGGGGACGCGCACCACAGTGCCCGAGCACAGCGACACGCAGCGGCCGGGAAGGCGGGGCCAGCACACAATGGACACACGAGGGGCGGGGCGCTAGGGGGACATCTTGTGGACGTTTTAGAGTATTACCTCTTTGAGATAAACAGAACTGACGCTGTCACGGAAAAGCGAGCGCTTAGGACACCAGCAGGTGAAGGCTGGGTATTACACCGAACAATTATGAGATCAACGTAACGCATGGGGGTTGATTGGATAAAGGCGAATAGGCTGAGCGCTGATCTGAGGGGAAGATGCAAGGAAAATGAACAAAAAAAAAACAGCATTTTTGCTCACACATGATTGGATGAAAGAAATCAGCAGGGTTTCCCCTCGGATCTAAAGCAACTGCAATGGCAGTGCACAGACTAATTGCCTTTAGTAAATCAACACCTAAGGATCGGTTCATACTATAGAAATGCACTCCAGATGTGTTTTTGATGCGTTTCAGCAGGTGCGTTTTGACAGCGTTTTTAGCACGTTCCAGTTCAATTTTTTTCCCCTTTCTTTTTCTTCCATTCAAATAGGAATAGTGCATTTTGGTGCATTTTTGATGCGTTTTACCACATTCCAGTAAAGTTCTGTGCAGGAAAATGCAGCACGTTCTACTTTTTATTCTGCAACCGGAATGCACTGCATCTGCAAGCACTGATGTGAACTATGACATTGACAACCATATCACCTACTTTCTGTGCGTTTTGGATGCAGAAAAAAAAGCAACTGAAACACATGTAGTGTGAACTGGCCCTAAGTGTTATGCATGCGCATTTCCTGCGTTAAACTTATTGCTCTATATATTTCGTCACTTCCCTTCTCCGTTTTGTGGGTTGTGCTTGAAGGAAAGGTTTTTGCTCATCTTTTATAGAGATCACAGCATGGATTCCATATTTCTGATCCTAATCCTGGCCATGATCGCTTGGAAGCATACGCGGCGCCAAAGGCAATACCAGAAAGTCCGGATTCTTCAGCTGCAAGTGGTTTTGGTTGTGCTTTAGATCACTCAGAGCAGATCCATACAAGTTCACTGATTACACACAGATGACCATCACAATATGAGTTCCCTCGTATCATACCAACAAAAAAAAGATTTCCAGAAATCAGCTCCTGCTTTACTTCTTTGATTTTTATCACTAGAACAGTTTTTTAATTTTTTTTGTAAAAAGCTGTATTTTTGGGCTTAAATGTACTTAGAACTATATATATATATATATATATATATATATATATATATATATATATATAAATAGATATAGATAGATAGATAGATAGATAGATAGATAGATAATGGATAGATAGATAGATAGATAGATAGATAGATAGATAGATAGATAGATAGATAGATAATGTATAGATAGATAGATAGATACAGTCATGGCCGAAATTGTTGGCACCCTTGATATTTTTCCTGAAAATCAAGTATTTCACACAAAAAAGGTATTGCATTAACACATGTTTTGCTATACACATGTTTATTCCCTTTGTATGTATTGGAACAAATATAAAACAGAGGCAGAAAAGCAAATATGACATAATGTCACACAAAACCCCAAAAATGGGCTGGACAAAAGTATTGGCACCCTTAACTTAATATTTGGTTGCACACCCTTTGGAAAACATAACTGAAATCAGTCGCTTCCTATAACCATCAATAAGCTTCTGACACCTCTCACCCGGAATTTTGGACCACTCTTCCTTTGCAAACAGCTCCAGGTCTCTCTTATTGGAAGGACACCTTTTCCCAACAGCAATTTTAAGATCTCTCCACAGGTGTTCAATGGGATTTAGATCTGGGCTCATTGCTGGCCACTTCAGAACTCTCCAGCGCTTCTTTGCCATCCATTTCTGAGTGCTTTTTGACGTATGTTTGGGGTCATTGTCCTGCTGGAAGACCCAGGATCTTGGACGCAAACCCAGCTTTCTGACACTGGGCCCTACAGTGCGACCCAAAATCCTTTGGTAATCCTCAGATTTCATGATGCCTTGCACACAGTCAAGGCACCCAGTGCCAGAGGCAGCAAAACAACCCCAAAACATCATTGAACCTCCACCATATTTTACCGTAGGTACTGTGTTTTGTTCTTTGTAGGCCTCATTCCGTTTTCGGTAAACAGTAGAATGATGTGCTTTACCGAAAAGCTCTATCTTGGTCTCATCTGTCCACAAGACGTTTTCCCAGAAGGCTTTTGGCTTACTCAAGTACATTTTGGCAAACTGTAGTCTTGCTTTTTTATGTCTCTGTGTCAGCAGTGGGGTCCTCCTGGGTCTCCTGCCATAGCGTTTCATTTCATTTAAATGTCGACGGATAGTTCGCGCTGACACTGATGCTCCCTGAGCCTGCAGGACAGCTTGAATGTCTTTGGAACATGTTTGGGGCTGCTTATCCACCATCCGGACTATTCTGCGTTGCAATCTTTCATCAATTTTCCTCATCCGTCCACGACCAGGGAGATTAGCTACAGTGCCATGGGTTGCAAACTTCTTGATAATGTTGCGCACTGTGGACAAAGGCAAATCTAGTTCTCTGGAGATGGACTTGTAACCTTGAGATTGTTGATATTTTGCCACAATTTTGGTTCTCAGGTCCTCAGACAGTTCTCGTCTCCTCTTTCTGTTGTCCATGCTTAGTGTGGCACAGACAGACACACAATGCAAAGGTTAAGTGAACGTCTCTCCTTTTTATCTGCTTTCAGGTGTGATTTCTATATTGCCCACACCTGTTACTTGCCCCAGGTGAGTTTACAGGAGCATCACATGCTTGTAACATTCTTATTTATCCGCAGTTGTGAAAGGGTGCCAATACTTTTGTCCAGCCCATTTTTGGAGGTTTGTGTGACATTATGTCGAATTTGCTTTCTTTCCTCCCTTTTTTTG